AGAATTTTTAGGTCAGTTAAAGTACTCTGTATGATATTATAATGATATATGTCATTACACACTTGTCCAAACAGATAGAATGCATAACAGCAAGAGTGAACCCTACGGTAAACTATGGACTCTGGGTGATTATGGTATGCCAATATAGCTTCACCTTTGGTTAAAAAAAATATATCATTTTGGCGGGTGGTATTGATAATGGGGGAGGCCATGTAGGTGTAGGTGCAGGGGCTATATGGGAAATCTCCTTACCTCCAATTTTGTTGTAAACCTAAAATTGCTCTAAAACAAAAGCCTTTTTAAGAAAGCATCCTTAGCCATGATACAAAAGCCTGGTCTATTTAAACAACTGATAAATCGGAAAAAAATAATAATAAAGAAATAAAGAAATAATTGATAAATCGGACTTCATTTAATGAAAAACTTTTGCTCCCTGGAGATGATTATTATCATTACTATTATTTTAAAGTTTTATTTATTTAAGTAATCTCTACATCCAACACGGGGCTCACGGCCCTGAGATTAAGAGTTGCATCCTTTTTTAGGGGCACGTAGGTGGCTCAGTTGACTAAGTGTTTGACTTGGGCCCAGGTCATGATCTCACAGTTCATGAGTTCTCTGCTGTCAGCACAGAGCCTACTTCGGATCCTGTGTTCCCCTCTGTCTGCTCCTCCTCTGCTCGAGTGCTCTCTCTCTCAAGAATAAACAAACAGAGTTGCATCCTTTTCTAACTGAGTCAGCCACGTGTTCCTGGAAGACCTTATTAAGATAAAAAAAACAAGCTACAGACCAGGAGAACCCATTTGTAAACCACATATCTCACAACAGACTGAGATCTAGAATGTATAAAGAACTCTCAGAACTCAAAAGTAAACAAACAATTCAATTAGAAAATGGGCAAAAGACATGAGGAGACATTTCATCAAAGGTGATATACAGATGCCAAGTAAGCATGAGAAAAAGCTGAACATCACGAGCCGTTGGAAAAATGCAAAAACCACAATGAGGTATCACTACATACTCATCATGACAGCTAAAATAAAAAATAAAAACAGTGGTAAAAGCAAATGGTGGCTAAGCGGCAGAGAAACTATCATTCATACATTGTTGGTGGGAATGTAAATGGTACACTTTGGGAAGCAAGTTAGCAGTTTCTTGAAAACTACATGTGAAACAACCGTATGACCCACCAATCGTGGAATCTGGGTGTTGATTCCAGAAAGATGAAAACTTGTGCTTGTCCAAAAACGTATACAAAATTGCTCATGGAAGCTTTGTTTGTAATAGGCAAACCTGGAAACAACCAAAATGTCCCCATGTAACTTCTCCCTGCCCCTGCCAGCTCCTAGCAACCTACATTCTACTTTGTCTCTGAATTTAACTACTCTAGGCACTTATACAATGCCCTCAAGATTCATCTATGCTGTAGCATAGGTCAGAATCGCCTTCCTTTTTAAGGTGGAATAATACTCCCTTTTATGTATATGCCACCTTTTGTTCATCCATCCATCCATTGATGGGCATGCATTGCTTCCACCTGGTGGCCGTTTTGACTAATGTTGCTCTGAACATGTGTACGGATCTGGAATTTCTGAAGGTGTGCCCCAGGACTCTGTTTCATAAACTCCTCTGGTGACTCTAATATACTTTATTTATTTATTTTTTAAATATGCTTTATTCTTATAATTTTTTCATTTTTTTAATGTTTATTTATTTTGAGAGAGAGACAGAGTACAAGAGGGGGATGGGGCAGAGAGACAGGGAAACACAGAATCTGAAGCAGGCTCCAGGCTCTGAGCGGTCAGCACAGAGCCCAACGCGGGGCTTGAACTCACGAACTTCGAGATCATGACCTGAGCCAAAGTCCGACGCTCAACCAACTGAGCCACCTGGGCGCCCCTCTGATATACTTTAAAAGTTTGTGAACCACAACTCTAATTCAGGATTTCCTCACGTGTAGATGGGCAAGGATTTGGGGTAGCCCTCACACACTATTATAGAGATCTGACTCACACACGAGAATGTCAGTCTTTTTCAAATTTTATGAATCATTCTGGTAAGATCAAAAGAAAAACCTTGGTTTGGTGTTATTTCTCTTGAACACCTAGTTCCAATTTCCCTTTTTAAGAAAGAGAGAGCAGCCCGTGGATTCAGAGGCATCGGATTCTTCAGCAGACAATAAAAGCAGGGAGAACTCAGAGACATTGTTTTTCATTGCATTGGTCGGTTGCATGACTATAAATTCCAAATGGTTTCTGACATATGATAATAACGTAGCATTGCCTTTTAATGAATCTACTTATTATTTTTGTTTAAATTGAGCAATTTTTTTAAGCAAAAAAAATATGGCCAGAGGTGTGTGAATAGGGCAAAACCTTGGGTAGCAATATGCCAGAGAATCAAGTCTGGGAAACATCGCTTCAAGGAACATTAACATTTGGAGTTTGCTCTCAACTTTTGGCACATGGAATGAGGAGAGCATCACACACTCACACACAGAAGCACACATCTAAGGCACTCAGTGGATGGCTCCTACATGCAGACATGGGATGGCACCTGCCACGTGCAGAAAGGCAGAGAAGCTTCCCCAGCAAACTCTTAAGCCAGAAAATCTTCACCCAAGCCTTAGAAGTGTGAGACAGCGATGCTCTTTGCACTTTCTGGAAGGGTTTTCTTTTTCTCTTCCCTTAGTGTTGAGTAGTAAAATTATTTAAAGGCTTCAGCCTGTCCAGACTGTGATAAGGGGTCACCAGACGAGAGGCAAACATGTTCAACCACTGGCAGCTGGGATTAGGCAGTTTGTGCCCCAGGTGGGGGCCCTCTTCTTCTTCGACTCAGATCTACCCAGAACGTGGCAGGTTTCTTGCTTAGGTGACAAGAAGCTGCCCCTAACAGTTACACTGTGAGCTAACGACAGTAGCTGCCACTGCATGGACTGTGTGCCAGGCACCGACCTCTCTCTCGTTAATTCTCACAACGCCCTAAAAGCGGACACTCAGCTCCATTCCGTGAATGAGGCAATGAGCTCAGAGACATGAAGAGACTGACTCAAGGCACACAGCTCAGACTCGGGCCTGCTGGGCTTCCAAAATCTGCTTCACCGTAAGTCATCATTTTGTCCAAGTTCTTTGCGACCTTGGCTTCCAGCTCCACTGGCCGTTTGCTTTCCTTGCGGTTTGCAAAGCAGAGACCCAGGAGAACAACTCCTGAGCAACAGCCCCTTCAAGATGCCACAGTTTTGGAACTCTACATCGGTCTATGAACATCTGTGGGACTTGATTAGGATTTCTGCTTGTTTGAATTTTCATGTTCTCAAAATATGGTTTCTAGTTACCACTAGAGTTGGCCACACGATGGAAAAATGGAAAGGGGCCTTTCGTTTCCCATATTTCTAGGGCAGTTCATCCAGGCCGTGGCCTTATTAGGAAAAAGGAAGAGATGGATTAGCAGATGAAGATTTACTGGCTGACAGCAGAAAATACTGTCAGGTGTATGTGCAGTGGTCCCTTGTGTGTGTGTGTGTGTGTGTGTGTGTGTGTGTGTTTCCTCTAAAAATCTTGCATTCTGAAATAGACATACAGTCACTTTAAAAGGTTTCTGGTGTCCATAAGTCCCGTGACACATCATCCCAATGAGAAAGTTTCCAAAACTCTTTTTCAAGCACTGGTGCATTTTTGAAAGAAAAAAAACAAACAAACAAACCAAGCATACAGTCCTTAAAAACAAAAGTTACAGATTACACATCCGCTAAGGCAGCTTATTAAACTTATTTTAAAACCCCTGGCGTTTTGAAAACAGGGCAGGAGATGATTTAGGGGGTAATTTACTAGGTTCCTCTCCCCCAGAGAACATCTGAGAACATTTTCTCTACTAATAAAAGGCAAAGTACATGCAGTTGTGTAAACCGCAAATGCCCCACCAGTGCGTGAGTGAAGAAGCTCGCCAGCCTGGAGAAAGACCTTTCTGGTGTCTTCCGCAGAAACGATTTCCCCAGCGCTCTCCTGAGTTCAGTAGCGTGATCTCAGGGCGTGGAAAGAGGCAATTCTTGCGCTGGACACGTTCCGTGTGGAAGACATTATCCCAAATGAGTGTAAAGAGAACACATGTAAGCTGCGTGAGCTTGCAAACTCAGAGGGGAGGTCTCTTGTCACCGCTGTTAGTACTCCCCCACCCCCACCCCAAGCAGCGTCCCGAGAGAGCCGTTCAAAAAGCTTGGGAGGGGTGGGGGTGCTGCTGCTCATCCCCAAAACAAGACGCCTTCCCCAGGCAGGGGGTGGGAGGGGACGAATTAAAGGGGATTCTTAAATTTGGGAGAACCCTCAGCAAAAGAAATAAAAAATGAGAAGAGCACCGACGTGAGTCTGCCTGTTGCAAGAGTAGCATCTACGGAGCGCCCAGGGGAAAGGCAGAGCAGGGAGCTGAGCGCGGAGGGGCGCTGGGGGAGGGAACTTCGGCGAGCGCGTGGGTGCGGCAGCCCCAGGCTTCTCCACCTCTAACCCCCAGAAATCCCCCGGTGGTCTCGTTAAAACGCAGAGTCTGATCCCTTTGATCGAGGTGGGGCGGGGGGAGATCTGCATTTCGGACGAGCTCCCAGATATTACAGCGACCGGCGGCCCGCGGACCAAACTGAATAGCAAGGGATTTATTTGACCCCTGTGGTGAAGCAAGCCCTCCGGGGTTAGAGCAGAAGCGGGGCTTTCTGAAGCCTTCCATCAACCTCTAGGGTAGTAGCGACCTTAGAAAAGCAAGGACAGAAACAAACTGGACGGGCAGGAATGGGGCTGAAAACTGGCCAGAGGCAGGACCACGGTCCGAGAGGCTTTATGACAAGCAGGGTCTCTGCAGGGCAGCGGGGGGTGGAGGCGCTCGCCTTTTGGCTCTGCAAGCAAGCGTCGCGAGGGGTGGGGGCTTTGCGGGGAAGCGCAGGAGACGCGCACTGGGACGCAGGTAGCAGCGGGACTCCCAGCTAGAGCGGGGGACCGGGGCCAGCCTGTCCTTACCTGCGCTCGCCCTGGTCCGTGTAGATGCTGAAGAAGAGCCCCTCCCTGAGGTCCCGGTACACCAGGCCCGAGAAACTGAGCTGCAGCTCATACCGGCTCCCGGGCTGCAGGGTCGCGCCGAGCTCCAGCACCATATACTGCATGTCGAAAGCGAACCACACGTCGTCCACGGGCACGCGACCCACCGCGCCGTCTCGGGGGCCAGAGGACAGAGGACCCCGCACCTCGGCGCTCTCGCAGTCCAGGAAGAGGCTGTGCAGCAGCAGCCGCGCGGTGGCCGCGGTGCAGCGCACGGTGATGTTCACGCGGCCGGTGAAGCTCAACGTCGGAGACTGGAACTCGTTCGGACGCAGCCGGGGCCACAGCTCCACCTCATAGTGCAGAGGCACGAGCCAGGGCGGCAGGCGCAGCTGGTCCCAGGGGCCCGGGGGTCGCCAATGGCCCGGGGTGGCCGTACCCGCCGGTTCACGAGTGGGGCGGGGCGGCCAGGTGGGCAGCTGCTCCTCCTGCGTGCCGCGCGGCGAGGACGCGGCGTCCGGGACCCCGCTGTGATGGAGGTCGGACGGCTGGACGCGCGCGCAGCGGCCGTACAGGGCTGCGAGCACCGCCAGCGCCAGCAGGAGCGCGGCGGCCAGCGCGGCCAGCAGCAGGGCTACCGCGCGGCTCACGTAGAAGCCAGAGCTGGAAGGGGGCCCCATGGCTGGGGCCGGGGCGAGGGCCGGGCGACAGCCGGGAGACCTCGGCGGCTCAAATCGTGGCCCGGGTGCTCAGTGATGGGACCCCCTTCGCTCTTCTTCTCTGTACCGTCCCGCCTCCTCCTCCGCGAGGAGCTGGGGAGACAGGAGCGAACGGTTGGGACCACGGCTTCCCCCTCCCAGCTAATCAGATCCAGGTCCCTGCCCATCCACCCCCGCCCCGCCGGAGCCTGGGGAAGAGGCGGATCCCGCGCACCGCAGCGCGCGCCCCTTTGGGTCCAAAGGAAAAGACCTCGCACAAGAGGCTTCCAGAGACGACGCGCTAAGGGGACGGTCGGACCACACTCGAACTTAGACACTTCCGACGAGGATGTTTGGATTCATGGGATTTGTTCGATGCGCCCCAGTGCGGTCTCAGGTGTTGTCGGAAAAGAGACAAGTGCAGGGCCCACGCTGCTCCTTGACTGCCGGACGGTCTGCGGACAGCACACCTGCTGGCCATCAGCTGGGGAAGCCAGGGCTAGGGGTTGGGTGAGGGGCTTAAGGATCGGGACTTTTGGAGACGCACTCTGAAATGACCCTCAGAAGGACATCCACGCCATCAGAACTAACTCCCGGAGCCAAACCGTTGGGCCTACATTCGCCTCCTGAATAAGCTCAGGACTCAGCAGCCCGGGAAGAGAGTGCGAAGATGGAGACGAGGCCAGGAGTCCCCGAGCCTTTCGGAGCTGGCGAGGTGGGGCTGGAGGAGGGGCCGACAGAAAGGCAAGGGGAGTTCCTCCGGGGCTGCGGGGTGGAGAGGGGTCGTCCCTGGGAAAGGGGACGTTCTGATTTCCAAACCGGTCCGTTTCAAGCCATAGTAGTGCGGCCAGCCTTTCCACTCGGAAACTGCCGGGGCGGGACCGTGCCCCAGTCGGTGAGATCTTTGGCTTGCCGGGCATCTGTTTGCTATTTAGCCCGTGCTGCAGGGAGAGTTCCCCGGCCTGGGAGCGGAGCTCCGAGTCTGCAAGCAAGCGCTCGCGTGCGTTGCGAATGGGGTTGCGCGTACTCCGGAGGCACTGGGGGAGGCGAGAGGGCGGTTAAAAATTCTCTTGCTGGCTGAAGATTTACTTGAGCGCATCCCATCTTCAGACTTTCAGAACTCAGAGAAATTTTCCATCTCTGCCAGAAAACAGTCTTCACGCTCCTGCTAGGTCCCATCCAAGGACGAAACCCTTCCACCTGAGTTCAGAGGTGGGGTAAACCAAGGTGATTCCCCTGGCAAATTGACCTTCCCAATGAAATTAATCACGTTAAAAATAAACTTCCGGAACGGGACAGGGCGGAAGAAGAAAACTTAGACCCAAGCTCACACAGATAGTTGTGCTATAATCTGTAGACAGACCCGTGTCCTGATTACAGGTTTGACCTGCTTTCTTCAGCAATGAAAAGATCATATTTGAAAATAATGGTGGCCACCTGCATCACTTCCAGAAGGTCCTGGGTAGAGCTGAGGGAGAAACAGCTCCTTCTGTTAGAACTGTGTGCTACTGAGCTAGTGGGGTGTCCCAGATGTAGAGCTAATAATTGTCCTTACCACCCACAGGACAATTTCTTGAAGGATTCCAGACTCCCAAGGAAATGTTAGAGATAAAAGGAGTCAGTAACTGAGTTACTTCAAATTCGTATTAGAGGTGTTCCTCCCCTCAGTTTGTCATTAAACAAATAGAAATTGGCCACCACACAAAGACTCAAAGTAATAAAATGGCACCAAATGATTCTAAGAAATCTTTCATGTCACTTAAAAGTTGCTAAATAACACACTAGCTGAGTCATGCTTATGTCAATTACTTAACTGGAGAATATTATTACATGAAATTTCTGACACTTCAGGGAAAGAATAGTTCTGGGAAATAGACCATTTGCCAGGAATACATTCACTAAAAATTTTAACAAAAAAAAAAATTTTTTTTTCAAGTAGGCTTCACGACCAGCACCAAGCCCCAAGGCGGGGCTTGAATTCATGACCCTGAGATCAGGACCTGAGCTGAGATCGAGAGACCCATGCTTAACAGACCGAACTACCCACGTGCCCCTAAAAACAAACAAAAAACTTGAGATGCTCGGAAAATCCACTCACTATTCAGACCAGCTAAAAGCAGTGATTCTCAACTGGAGGTGCTTTTGCTGACTCTCTCCTGGACATTTGACAAATTTTGGAGACTTTCGATTGTCACAACTTTGAAGGGTTGGCGGGGGTGGGGGATTGGGGGAGCGAGTTCTATTGGCATCTAGTGGGTAGAGGTCCAGGCTTTTATATACTGTCCAAATGGGACTTCACCTTTGCATCTTTGTACCTATTTACTTTTGTTTATGCTTATGCTTTGACATGTCTATTATTCTTGCATCTTTTAAAAAAAATTTTAAAAGCTTTATTTATTGAGAGAGCACACACGGGGGAGGGACAGAGAGAGGGAGAGAGAGAGAATCCCAGGCAGGCTCTACATTATCAGCCCGTCGCAGGGCTCAAACTCATGAACAGCGAGATCCTGACCTGAGCTGAAACCAAGAGTCCAGTGCTTAACCGACTGAGCCACCCGGGTGCCCCTATTCTTCCATCTTTATATCTTGGTACTTATTATGAACTTCTGTGATACTTTATTATTTCCCTTGGGCCATATGACTCAATTTTTCTTTTCATTTTTCTTCATTTACTTTGAAAATCTGATTTTTTTGAATGGGTAATATAGTCATAAGGCTCAACAATCAAAACAGTATGGACAGTTATGTTGAGATATCTTGCTTCCACTGCTTCCATAGTTTTTATGTGTATCTTCTCTGTGTTTCCTTACACAATTGCATACTCTTGTATCTCTCCCCTTTCTTACATAAGAAATAGTGTAGTAAAATGCACTCTGCACCTTGCATTTTCATTTAACATTATATTCTGGGGATCTTTCTATATCACTCCACAGATATCTTTCACATTCATTTCTACAGCTGCATTGTATGGCTATACTATTGCAGAGATTTTCCTAGTTTGGTTATTTGGACGGATTCACCAGACTCCACAGAGTATCTTCACATAGGCTTGTATTTAAAGGCACAGGAGGGGCGCCTGGGTGGCTCAGTCGTTTAAGCGTCCGACTTCAGCTTAGGTCATGATCTCACGGTCTGTGGGTTCGAGCAACGCGTCATACTCTGTGCTGACAGCTCAGAGCCTGGAGCCTGCTTCCGGTTCTGTGTCTCTCTGCCCCTCCCCACTCACGCTCCTCTCTCTCTCTCTCTCTCTCTCTCTCTCTCTCTCTCTGTCAGAGAGACATCACCAGTGCCAGCTCCCCAAGGGCCCTTACTTGCATAAATGGTCCCTGTTGTGTCACCAGCTCAGTCCACCAAGGTCTGTGAGAGGAACCTTGTTTACAGAAAGCTCAAAGGAGAAACTCTTAGAGAACCCCTTTTAAATAATCAAGCCAGGTATATCAGACCCATAAATCCAACTGCAAACCACCAGTAACAAAACTAACACTAGGGGTCTCCAGGGAGAATTTCAGACCTGAGTCAACACGTAATAAATTGATCAAGAGTCAGAAACCAAATAACCAGAATTAAAGCAGAGGAAGGAGCATTGAAAATCCTCTCCTCCATGAAAGCAAGGTGAATGCTGGGAAAAAATGGTCTGAATTAACTATTTCAGAACTCTGGGAAATAGCCAAAATCTTGGAGCAATCTGGAGAGTGTTTGTTCAAAAATAAACAAACAGCCCAATCTCAGTTAAAAAGAAACAAACCTGAGCTTTATAACATTCTAACTTGCTTTATTCTCATTTCCTTCTTCTCAGCTCTGCAGTAGCCTTAAAAATCAACAGCCTGCTATCATGGTGCAAATCAGTAGCCTGACCACCACTGGAAGGAGCATATGGTCCCTTTAAAGACCCTTTAAAGCCTCATTCTCAGAGAATTGTCATATTTGAACTACTGGGGTGTTCCCTGGAAGACTGCTCTCAAGGTTATCTTTATTTGACCTGATTCACAGTTCAGTCTGTGTGAACAGCCTTTCCTAAGGGGCACTGGTTGAAAATAACCATAGGCAATTGTTTAATTTTGCAACTGCCTGAGGGGGGCAAACAATTGAAGCAAACATTAAGCTTGTCAGAAAGTTTAAAAGGAAACGTGCAGGAATTATATATCTAGAGGGGGCTTTGAAAAGCTCCAACAGATTCCTGAAAAACTAAAAGGCCATATGCCTGCTATGGGCCGTGCACACAACTAAGGCTACCCACATGCTTGGAAAAGACCCAAGAAAGCCCTAAGCACATCCAGCTTATCTTGAGGCATTGCTCAAACTGGATGTCAAGCCTAAGACAGAGTTGTCAACTGCCTGGTTGAATGTTGAAGGGATACCTCAACACCTACACAGAGCCCCTTGGCAAAACCCGGGAGATTTAGGGGGCCTGGGTGGCTCAGCGGGTTGAGTGTCTGACTTCAGCTCAGGTCATGATTTCACAGTTCATGGGTTCAAGCCCCACATTGGGCTCTCTGTTGTCAGTGCAGAGCCCGTTTCAGATCCTCTGTCCCCCCACTCTCCCTGTGCTCCTCCTGCTCACACTCTCTCTCTCTCTCTCAAAAATAAATAAAAACATTTTTAAAAATCTTAAAAAATGGGAGATTTACTGGTTCCAGGTATTCAGGGGACTCTCTGTCTCACCATTAGCTGACCTCTAAGCTAATGAGCAAAGACATAAGTAGCCACCAAAACAAAGAATACAGACTTTACTGAATTCGTTCAGGAAAGCCTCTAAGCATACAAATAACTACAACCATAATCAGCAACAAGTCCTGAAAGGGCAAGAGATCTTAGACTTGTCATATTATTTAACATATTGTGTTTCCCACAGCAACAAAAAATTATGAGACATACAAGGAAACACAAATGTATGCCCATACACAGAGAAAAGTCATCAATAGAAAGTGTCCCTAAGGACTTTCAAACATTGGGTTTATTAGACAAAGACTTTGAATTAGCTA